CATCCATCCATCCATCCATCCATCCATCCATCCATCCATCTATCTATCTACTACAGGCTGAAAAAAACTTTTCTACTTTTCAAGCTTCCACAACATCAATAAACAACTTCACAGTGAGGAAACAATAGCTGTGTGGAGATCGGAACTAGAGGACAATAATGGACATGAAGACACCAAAGTAAATCAAACTGGGCAGGTGAATGGGGAGATGAGCTGCTGTGACGACCCCTGACGAGAACAGAACAAGGAGAACCTCGTGACAAGAGCACGTATTCCTGGACTTCCAACTGAATTTTCAGAGTTACACAACGATACAACAACAAACAAGCTCCAGTTTCACCATGTGTTGAACCAACTGTAAACCACATACCAACACTAATCTCCACGTCAGCCCACAGATTTTAAATTATGTGACTAACAAGCCACAAAACAACCGTCTGCCTCTGTTTTTCCTTCATGGTAAGCAGATAGTCAACAGTGTATGGACAGCCTGTTTTTGTCAGGTTGATTCAGCAGCTGCAGGAACTCCTGGATGCTAATTGATTAACACACTCACTAGCAAAAACAAAGAGATGATGATGATGATGATGATGAGCAGCTCAGTGCGACTTTGTGGACGGTCAGAGGGTAATTTGATATTTCCTTTTTCTTGAGCTGCGTGCAAGACTGCGTGGAGAATGACATCAGTACAGTGTGGGTATAATAGAGTGTTAGCATACAGAGAGAGAGGAAAAGAGAGAGAGAGAATGTGTAGCAGTAAGAGGGGTCTATATCGGCAATGTGAATTGGCAGTGAAGCATTCTGGGGCTTCGAGTTACAGGCCTTATAAGGGCCAGGGCCCCTGTGCCTCTGCTCGCATCTGCTATTCTTAGGCTGTCTGTCTCTCACCCTCAGCAACCCTGCAGGCAAGAAACTCTTCTCCATCATAAACTGACTTTAATGTTGTTTCTCTGTCAATTTTCAGTGTCTCAGAGTTAAGGTTTGTGGAAACCATTTTGTTGTTGTGTGAAAAAAAACAGTCCTCAGGAGTTTTTTGTTTTTTGTTTTTTTTTTTTTTGTGGCCTCATCGTGTTTTCGATCTAAATTCTATTCCTGTACGTTTGTGTCTACACGTGTGTACCCTTGTCTGTGTGCATGAATGCGCGTCAATGTGTGTGTGTGTGTGTGTGTGTGTCCTCTCACACAGAGGCGCTGCAGCACCTGACCCACCCACCAGCACCAACAGCACCACCCGAGGGTGTTTGTCCTGCAGCTGGGAGCAGACGGGAGAAACCCTAAGTGAAGCCAGGGCTGACAGAGGAGGTGTCGGCAGGGACAAAGGGATAACAGGGGAGGCCTGACAACAAGGGCACGCAGAGCAGGAGGAGAAGCCAAGGAGCCAGCAGGAGTTTTTATCAGGGGGACTACTGAGGTAAACCCAAGATGAGCACGTACACAGTGACTCTGAGCGGCCCTGCACCATGGGGCTTCAGACTACAGGGGGGGAAGGACTTCAACATGCCACTGACCATCTCCAGGGTAAGTCAGGAGTGTGACAGCAATTTACTGGCAAAAAAAAAAAAACTGAAGCTGAAGACCACAGTACAGCTAACATATAACCATGTGAACTAACACCATAATAAACACAATAAAATATGCAGTAAAAATACACACACCTCAAACTATATTACAGTTCATCGGGGGGCAACACTTTGAGACAATTTGTCACAAATTCCCGTCTTAATGAAGCGTGTGCTCGTGCATGTGCGTTTGATTTGTGTGTTTGTGTGAACAGCTGCTCTGTAGAGGTTATGTAATTCTGCTGTACATGATGAAAGCCGCCAGCCTCAGATCTCTGGAGAAATATCTAGAATAGAGCAGCAGAAAAAAAGATGAGGCATTCTGGCCATGGTGGGGGCTGAATTTGTATTTTAAGTATTTGTAACTAATTGAGGAGTAATAATATTACACATTACTAAGAGCACACACCTGTGGGTGAAGGATCAATGCAGTAAAGTTGACACAGTCTTTACCCTTTTTTCTTTGGTACTCTAATGACAAACTCTCACTTATATCACACCAAAAAGATTGATCCTAAATGTATATATTTACTTTGTTTCATACTGCATATTGCCAACTGTTGAGACACACACTCTCTCTCTCTTT